CAGGGATAGAGGCAGACTCCATTGAGCACATGTTCCCAGTAAAACACAAAAGGATACAAAAATACATAACTCCTATCATACTGAATTGAACGGGCCAAATCTCCCAGGGTCCATAGTCACAGGGCAAGAGGCAGCCAAGCAGTCCTCTCCAGGCACAAGTGGCGAAGGGCACTTCGTCACAGTAATAAATCCATGAATAAAGTAGCAGGGAGGGAAAGTATCAAATGAATGGAGGGGGATTCTTCACACTGGCTTACAGCGTAGTTTGAAACATTCTTATTTTCTGGGTGCTAATCTGCTAAATAGTAAATTTAGGGCGTGCTCTTCATATCTGAGAGTCAAATAGAAGCGTCAAATAGTGCGGTTACAGCGCAATTGTAAACATTCTTATTTTCTGGGTGCTAATCTGCTTAATAGTAAATTTGGGGCATGCTCTTCATATCTGAGAATCAAATGGAAGCGTCAAATAGTGCGGTTACAGCGCAATTGTAAACATTCTTATTTTCTGGGTGCTAATCTGCTTAATAGTAAATTTGGGGCATGCTCTTCATATCTGAAAGTCAAATAGAAGCTTCAAATAGTGCGGTTACAGCGCACTTGTAAAAATTCTAATTGTTTTGGTGCTAAACTGCTAAATAGGAAATTTGGGGCGTACTCTTTATATCTGAGAGCAGGGCCGGCGCTACCCGTAAGGCGACCTAGGCAGCTGCCTGGGGCGCAACTTAGCAGGGGGCGCCAGATCCCTGTGCCCGGAGTCACCGGTGCGGCTCCAACATGCTGCGCCGCCTGAGCACTTTAGCAAGCCTCAGGCTGTGCAGCACTGCTGTATGGAGGGTGGCCGGCTGGATTTGAGTGACCGACAGGAGGGAAGCAGTGAGCACTTCCTGTCAGTCCGCCGGCGGCTGGGTACAGAAAACAGAGGTCCTGTCCTGTGTTCCGCGCCACCCGGCCACGCTACATTGGCAGGAAGGAAGAGGAAGAGGAGGGTAAGGACCACTGGGGGGGAGGAGGGAGGGAGGGGGGGCTAAGGACCACTGTAGCTGGAGGAGGAGGACCAGGACCCACTGGGGAGTAAGGACCACGAGGTGGGAGGGGGGACTAAGGACCACTGAGGAGGAGGGGGGGGACTAAGGACCACTGGGGAGGTGGAGGGGGGGACCAAGGGCCACTAGTGGACACATGACTGGGGACGAGGGGGAGATGTCCATGACCACTGGGGGAGGAGGGGGAGGCGACACTAAGGATCACTGGGGAGGAGGGGGGGCACTAAGGACCACTGGGGAGGAGGGACGACGACTAAGGAACACTGGTGGAGGAGGGGGAGTAAAGACCACTGAGGAAGGGGGGGGAAGGTTCACTAGGGGTTTGCCAGAGGGAGGACCACTGAGGGAGGGAGGACCACTAAGAGGGAGAGAGGGGAGTGAGAAGACCACCAAGGAGGGACTGCAGAGGGACAGGGGGCCAAGGGAGAGCACTAAGGGACAGAAAGGGAGAACACTAATTGACAGGAGGGGTGAGCACTATGAATTTTTTTAACAAAATAAAGGGCTGCTCCCCTCTCAGTCCCTATCCTACCCCACAAACCATCTCTTTTACACTACACACATGCACAATTCATTCCCACACACACAGAAACATACAATGCATCCTTATTCACACACAGACACACCCGAAACACACAATGCATCCCTTACGCTCACACAAACACTCATTCTCTTACACACAGAAACAAAATGCATCTCTTACACACTCAATGCACCCCTTACAGACACACACTGCATTCAATTACATACACAGAAACACAACTTGCATCCCTTACACACACACACACACACACACACACACAGAAACATACAATGCATTCCTTACACGCAAACACACACTGCATCCACTATACACACACTACATCCCTTGCAGAAATTGGTATCCCTATACACTACATTCTATAAGAACACACACACATTGCATCCTCTGCAATAACACATAAAACATCCCCTACACACATACACGCCACTACCTGTGAGAGAACTCAAGGGCGGGCCATATAGGTGGATTTATGGGTGGACATTGTAGGCATACTCACAGTCAAGCCCTGGGTGCCCAGACCTCGAGCTGTGTAAGGGGCCCCAAAAAATGGCACTGCTTCCTGTTGGAGCCAGACTGAGCCCATCATCAGCCTCTTGTCCTCATCTGGTGGTAAGTAGGCAATCCAATATATTATTAGTGGCACTAATCTCTAATTTACCTCACATTAAATAGATACTATAGTCACCAGAAGCACTCCAGCTTAATGTAGTGGCTCTGGTGTCTATAGCCTGTGCCTGTAGGTTTTTTAATGTAAACACTTTGTCTTTTCAGATAAAAGACACTTTGTGAAGACTAGGCCCATATGGCAGAGCATATGGGTGGGGCATTGTGATGTCACATGGTGGGCAGGACATATGGGGGTCAAATTTTTTTTTGCCTAGGGTGCACTTGTAAAAATTCTATGAATTAAGCGTCAAACACCGCTGTGCATTCGCATGTTTAAAATGGCTGTGACCTCGTGTTCGTGATACAAATGGCGGCCACCCAGCATTCGTCAATTAAGCTGCGGTTAACCGCAGCTTCAGGGAGGTTAATTGCCGGCACACTCCAGCTCCCAGGTGGTCTATTCTTTCGTGCGGTTGTTCGGTAGATTGAATCTACCGAACACCCGGCAGAAAAGCACAAATAAGTATTTTCTGCAGGGAAAAAATATGTCTTTTAACATGGGACCATAGTCCAAAGGCAGCAGGCGAGCAACCAGGCTTCTCCAGTGTACAGTGGCGAGGTTGGTTTCGCCACAGGTAGAATGGAGAGAGAGAGAGAGGGCTAAACAGGGGTGAGGGGGGCAGAATGGAGAGAGAGAGAGCTAAACAGGGAGGGGGGCAGGGAAACTAAAGGCAGAGGAAGCCGCCCCCCCGCCACCCCTACCATCACAGGAGGGGTGAGCATATTGCTCCTGAAGGTGCCTACCATCATACAGGGCAGCAGCAGCTCTGAGGGCAGCAGGATTGAATCCACATCCATCCCTCAAGCAGGTAAAGTCACCAGGCCCAGGACAAACAGGAGCACAGAGGCAGGGAAGTTGTTTGCTGGCCAGAATCCCAAACAGTCAATGAGGTAAGATGATCCCTGCCCCACTACAAACCCATAACCACTCCCCTAAACACATATAGCCACTCCCCTAAACACATACAGACACTCCCCTAAACACATACAGCCACTCCCCTAAACACATACAGCCACTCCCCTAAACACATACAGCCACACCCCTAAACACATACAGCCACTCCCCTATACACATACAGCCACTATCCTAAACACATACAGCCATGCCCATATACACATACAGCCACTCCCCTAAACACATACAGCCACCCCCCTATACACATACAGCCACTCCTATAAACACACACAGCCACGCCCCTAAACACACACAGCCACGCCCATATACACACACAGCCACTCCCCTAAGCACATACAGCCACGCCCCTATACACATACAGCCATGCCCATATACACACACAGCCACTCCCCTAAACACATAAGCCACTCCCCTATACACATACAGCCACGCCCCTATACACATACAGCCAATCACTAGCACCATCTCCACACTCATACATGTGCCCTTGTCCGTTTCGCTGTGCTGACTCCCCAGGGCCTTATCTGAGAGTCAAATAGAAGCGTCAAATAGTAAATACTGCGCTTACAGCGCAGTTTGAAACATTCTTATTTTCTGGGTGCTAATCTGCTAAATAGTAAATTTGGGCCCCGCTCTTCATATCTGAGAGTCAAATAGAAGCATCAAATACTGCGGTAACAGTGCACTTGTAAAAATTCTAATTGTTTTGGTGCTAAACTGCTAAATAGTACATTTGGTGCGTGCTCTTCATATTTGAGAGTCAAATAGAAGTGTCAAATACTGTGCTTACAGTGCCGTTTGAAACATTCTTATTTTCTGGGTGCTAATCTGCTAAATAGTAAATTTGGGGTGTGCTCTTCATATCTGAGAATCAAATAGAACCGTCAAATAGTGCTGTGACATAGCAGTTTTTAACATGAAAAAAGTTTGGCTGCTAAATAGTACATTTGCGGCCTACGGTGCACTTCATATCTGAGAGTCAAATAGAACCGTCAAATGCCAATAAGACAATATTGTAATTCGGGGGCAATACCCTCACAAGTCAAACTGAGAGGTAAGTTTATAGGGAAAACTGTTGCCTGGATACAATTCTAAAACAATTTCCTTTGCAGACTTTACATGCTGGAAAAACACAGGTGCCAACTGCTGTGGCTTTCTGCAGTGTGCAGACCGACAAGGAGGACAGGGTTGAGGAGTGTGTGGAAGATGATGTGGAGGATGATGAGGTCCTAGACCCCACGTGGAATCAAGGGCATGCGCGTGATGTGTGCAGTTTGGAGGAAGAGGCGATGGTCGCACAGAGGCACCAGCACAGCATAAGAGGGAGCAGGGTGCAAATGCGGAGCGGCCGTCCCCTAGTGCTCGTCGGCATTTATTATTTTTAGAATTCCCACAGTTATCTAATTAACAGATGGAGCGATCAAAGGAACCATAACAGATTTAACAAGCCATTCGTAGTTTCACAGTCAGGTGACCGGGACCCAGACACTTGAAGTTAGGAGTCACAGTGTGAAATGGATTAGCAGGATCTGGTGCAGGGTAACCGCACGCCCCCTCTCACCCTGCTGCTGCTTGCCTGTCTGCGCTGCAGCGTAACATTGGCCTTCCCGCTCACCGCCTCATATGCGACGTGCCCACAAGGTGGAACTTCACCTTGCACATGCTGGAGAGACTGTGCGAGCAGCAGCAGGCGATAGTGGAGTTTCAGCTGCAGCACGCACGGGTCAGTCGCTCTGCACCAGACTTGCCCTCCAATTGATCAGAGTTAAAGGATTCCAAGTGGACTCATTACAATTACAGGGCCTCTAAAGAGTCCTGTATTGTTATCTGTCGTCACTACCTTCCCGTGTCGGGAGTGGATCATTTGCGCGCCTGCTGCCTTCCTTGCATGTGGTAGCCGTTTCTCAGGCTCCCTCTCCGGAATCGAACCCTAATTCCACGTTACCCGTGGTCACCATGGTGGACGCAGTAAATGGCATCCAAAGTTGATATGGATGACATACGAATGTGTCGTCTAGCATGATGAGCTGGGTGTTCTCCAGGAACGTGGCTTGATGGGAGTTGAGCCAGTTCTGAGTGGCCCTTGTGATGCGGCATGCCCACTCTGCATGGGAGTCCTTCTCCCCTTTCCGGGTCTCCCTAAACTTTCGGCAGTATTGCTCGGGGGTGACCGCATACCGGGCCAGGAGGATTTGGCTAATAAAGGGAAAGTCTCTGATCTGCTCTTCTGCTACAGCCTGGTAAATATCTGCTGCCTTCCCCACTAGTTTGCTGGCCAGGATGGTGACCCAGTCGCTGGGGTCCACGTCTTGGAGTAGGCACTGGTGCTCAAAGTCTTGTAAAAAGTCATCGATGCCTTCTTCTGCTTCCTTGAAGTCTTTGAAGGCATTGTATGGTAGCTTGTGGGCCAAGGTGGTTGTGCTTCCCGGCGCCCTCTGCTCCCTTCTTCCTTCATCTGGGTTCACGGAGGTCGCCCTCTGTCTACAGGGAGTGCAGAATTATTAGGCAAGTTGTATTTTTGAGGATTAATTTTATTATTGAACAACAACCATGTTCTCAATGAACCCAAAAAACTCATTAATATCAAAGCTGAATATTTTTGGAAGTAGTTTTTAGTTTGTTTTTAGTTTTAGCTATGTTAGGGGGATATCTGTGTGTGCAGGTGACTATTACTGTGCATAATTATTAGGCAACTTAACAAAAAACAAATATATACCCATTTCAATTATTTATTATTACCAGTGAAACCAATATAACATCTCAACATTCACAAATATACATTTCTGACATTCAAAAACAAAACAAAAACAAATCAGTGACCAATATAGCCACCTTTCTTTGCAAGGACACTCAAAAGCCTGCCATCCATGGATTCTGTCAGTGTTTTGATCTGTTCACCATCAACATTGCGTGCAGCAGCAACCACAGCCTCCCAGACACTGTTCAGAGAGGTGTACTGTTTTCCTCCTTGTAAATCTCACATTTGATGATGGACCACAGGTTCTCAATGGGGTTCAGATCAGGTGAACAAGGAGGCCATGTCATTAGATTTTCTTCTTTTATACCCTTTCTTGCCAGCCACGCTGTGGAGTACTTGGACGCGTGTGATGGAGCATTGTCCTGCATGAAAATCATGTTTTTCTTGAAGGATGCAGACTTCTTCCTGTACCACTGCTTGAAGAAGGTGTCTTCCAGGAACTGGCAGTAGGACTGGGAGTTGAGCTTGACTCCATCCTCAACCCGAAAAGGCCCCACAGGCTCATCTTTGATGATACCAGCCCAAACCAGTACTCCACCTCCACCTTGCTGGCGTCTGAGTCGGACTGGAGCTCTCTGCCCTTTACCAATCCAGCCACGGGCCCATCCATCTGGCCCATCAAGACTCACTCTCATTTCATCAGTCCATAAAACCTTAGAAAAATCAGTCTTGAGATATTTCTTGGCCCAGTCTTGACGTTTCAGCTTGTGTGTCTTGTTCAGTGGTGGTCGTCTTTCAGCCTTTCTTACCTTGGCCATGTCTCTGAGTATTGCACACCTTGTGCTTTTGGGCACTCCAGTGATGTTGCAGCTCTGAAATATGGCCAAACTGGTGGCAAGTGGCATCGTGGCAGCTGCACGCTTGACTTTTCTCAGTTCATGGGCAGTTATTTTGCGCCTTGGTTTTTCCACACGCTTCTTGCGACCCTGTTGACTATTTTGAATGAAACGCTTGATTGTTCGATGATCACGCTTCAGAAGCTTTGCAATTTTAAGAGTGCTGCATCCCTCTGCAAGATATCTCACTATTTTTGACTTTTCTGAGCCTGTCAAGTCCTTCTTTTGACCCATTTTGCCAAAGGAAAGGAAGTTGCCTAATAATTATGCACACCTGATATAGGGTGTTGATGTCATTAGACCACACCCCTTCTCATTACAGAGATGCACATCACCTAATATGCTTAATTGGTAGTAGGCTTTCAAGCCTATACAGCTTGGAGTAAGACAACATGCATAAAGAGGATGATGTGGTCAAAATACTCATTTGCCTAATAATTCTGCACTCCCTGTATTGGCAAGGACCTCCAAAAAGGTCCTGCTGACAATCTCCTCTGAGGGTGGCTCTCGGTAATATGCCAGGTGCTGTTACACCTCCTTGCGCACTTCCTCCTCATCTCCGGCCCCTGGTTAGGGGTCGTTGCCTCACTGCGTGCCTGGTCATCCTCCGTGAGCGCAGCAGTAAATTCAGCCTTGTTACGCCCACCAGGCATTATTCCTCTGGCTCCACACAAGTCCTGCAGTGTAAGTCGCTTTAGAGCACTGTAGTCCATGGGTCTGTTGGCAGGGACATGGGATCCCGCTGCTTGCCACCAATTGAAGCGAGACCTGGGTAACCAATGGTTATCCCCTTTGATTAGAATAGGTCAGACCCATTTCCTCAGTAACCAGATGGGACACAGTTCCAGGATACAACATTTGACAATCTTTATTTGGGTACACAGATTTGCCTCCTGTTGCCTCCTCCTCCTACTCATCTTCTTCCTCCTCCTCCTCTACCACCTCCTCATCCGGTCAGAGTAACACCTTCACCACCAACTTCAGCACAGCCAGGGGGAAACGACAGCAGGCTGTTTTCAAACCGCAGGAGCTGTGGACAGGCATGGAACAACAGACCAATGAGTGGTTGTTGCCACTGAGCCTCAAGCCTGGCCCGTGGTGTGCAATAATGGGCAAAATCTGCCCAGAATCAAGTATGACACCAAGACAGTGCACTTGCAAGGATGGACTGATGTGGGTACCACAAACTTGAAGGGAAAGCGAAAGAGCAGGATTGAAATTTACATAGGGATTTAGGCCAGAGCGCAGGTAACGTTCTCTTTGTTTTTACTATGTATTTTGAGCTGTTGGATACTAAGCTACTGCTGCTGTAAGCGCGGTGCTTTATATTTGTGTAAATAAAAAACAGTGTTGGCTACCACCTCCTCCACCACTGCTCCCACCTACACCGCCACGATCACCGCCTCCTCAACCTATGGGTTACGTAGTATAAACTATGTACACAATAGCAGAGAGGCCTTTTCTCCATGCATCAGGAGTTGAGCTCAGTTTGAACAATGAAAGAGAATACCCTGCACTCCAACCCTCTCTCAAATGGATAATTATGGTGATCCTCCTGATTTTTGTTCTTCCAAAGCTAAAATCAAAGATTCCATCTAGTGCTATTTTATGGCTCAGCTGTATTTTAAATTTTTATGTTATTTTAAGCGATTTCCCTATCCACATTTGTTTGCAGGGCACTTTTCCTACTCTTACCCCCATTTTACTTCCTTTTGCAGCCCTCTAGCCCTTTCCAGGACTTTTTTAGAAGCATTTTTGTGCCCAAAAGTTCAGGTCTCCATTGACTTCAATGAGGTCCGGGGTCAAGTTCGATCCCGAACCCAGATTTTTTTTCAAAGTTCGGCCGAACCCGCCGGACCCGAACATCCAGGTGTCCGCAAAACTCTACTGAAAGACTTATATTGGTATTTCAGCCAAATTTACTAATACTAATAATAGGTTACTTAGTATTAGTAAATTCTGTAGGGGCATGTCTAGTACACAGTGAGCAGCCTGTGTCCCCCCCCCCCGACTCTCCCCTCCCCCATGCCGCGCGAGTGGGGGCTTCTAAACTGATTACTTTCAATCAACCAATCAGAGTGTTGTTATGAGTCAAATTACACAGCATGGGATAATTCCAAATAACTTTCCCACGCTGTGTAAAATGACACAAAGCACTCTGATTGGTGGATTTCAAGCTAACCAATCAGCGTGCTGTGACAGGTAAATGTAGAGACTTACCTGTCAGTATCTTCATTTACCTGTCAGAGCACTCTGATTGGATGGCTTAAACCCACCAATCTGAGCCTAATTGCAGGGTGGGGCAAGGCTTTATAGCTCAGTCTGCGGGGTGCGCTCCATGGGTGAAGATGGATTACTTTTTCAACAAGTTGTGGATAAAAGGCATTTTGCACAGTCTGTTGCTCTTCATAATTCATTTTCTGCACTTTCAGAGTGTAATGGTGTTGTGGAGAGAGGCACTGAGGCTAGTGGTGTTGTGGAGAGAGGCACTGAGGCTAGTGGTGTTGTGGAGACCAGCTTGGAGACTATGGTGAGGCCTAATAGAAAGCAGTTGTTGTTGGGGGATTCCATTATAAGAGGTGTGGAGATGGACAATGGTGGTCTTGTGAGGTGTCTTCCCGGAGCTACTGCTCACAGAAACAGGAGACGTATCTGTAATATTGTTAAGCAAGCAAAGCAGGAAGGGGAATTGGATGTACTTGTCCATCTAGGGACAAATGACTTGGCTTGCAATGAGGTTTCAGAGGTTAAGGAAGTTTTTAGTGTTTTTTGCCAATGATATACGGCAGGTTGCTTCCACACTGTCATTCTCTGAAGTTCTGCCTGTGCATAACACTCAGAACGACAGGCGGATGCGTATTAGGGACTTTAATTTGTGGCTTGGTGAATGGTGTCGGGAGCAAGGATTTGGCTTTATTTCCCATGGTAGTTCTGTTTGGAATGGAGATAAGCTGTACAAAAAAGATGGTTTGCATCTTTCTCAAAAGGGAACAAATGTTCTCAGTGAGCAGTTCAGAGGTTTTGCTGGGATGTATTTAAACTAGGAGGGGGGGGCAAAAGGGTGATAAAACATCAATCCAATTGTCCCCCAAAACAAGGACAGAAGGTGCCTGTAGCAAGTGTGTTAAAAAATGATAAGCTTAGAGTCATGTCTACAAATGCTCGCAATTTAGGGAATAAGATCCATGAACTTGTGGCAATAATGGCAACTGATAGTGTAGATTTAATCGCTGTTACTGAGACATGGTACAATGAGAAAAATGACTGGGACATAGCAATACCAGGGTACTCTTTATATAGGAAAGATAGGGAAGGCAAGAAAGGGGGAGGGGTGGCCTTGTATGTGAAGGATAGCATAAAATCTAGCCTAATAAAAGTTAGTGAGGCAAACATAGAGTCCGTTTGGGCTACGTTAGAATTTAGTAATCACACAGTAACTCGTGTAGGTGTGATTTATAGGCCCCCAGGACAAATTGAAGAGTTAGATAATCTACTAGTTGAGGAAATAGCTAAAA